TATTTTGATAGTCCTGAAGCGGACGCAGCGTGCTTCCTGCCGCCATCTTGACGCAGCTCAGGTCGGTGTCAGTCAGGAAACAAGCCGAACCGAGCGGCGCCCCTGCGGTTCACCGACAGCCTGACCCCGGTGTCTCGGAGCGGAGCTCAGCGTTTACCCCGGGATGGAGCACTCTCCCGGGAGGATGACCGCAGCCTGAACCGGAACCGGTCGGATTAAAGCCCCGAACCGTCCAGAACCGCCCGTTAGGAGCGGTGTCTGTTCAGTCATGGGTGTTGTGGTGAATTTAGGTGTCAGTTTAATTGTAGCAGGTAGTCTTTAGCTGTTAGCAGCTCAGCTAGCTAACAACTTATGACTAAATAACTAAGTAAGTTCGGGTGAACGAACTGTTGCCAGCAGCGGGACCGGACCGGACCGGACCGGACCCTGCAGATGGGTCCTTGTCAGTAACCCTGAACGCGCACGTGTGAACGCGCCACACTTGGACCGTGTTGTTGTCTTAAAGGAAACACCGGCGGCAGTCTGACAGGTCGGGACACGACGGGTTCTGCAGATGTGGAGCTGAAGGTTCGGAGGACGAACCGAACCGGCTGCTGAAGGGAGGGCATGGCTGGTCGGAGGAAGAACCAGGGAGTGGAGCTTTAACCCAACGAGCTGCACCCAGAACCGATGAGTCAGTTTTGACAACGGAAACGGGGACCGAGCGACGAACCGGGCTCAAAGCGGGCCACGTCTAGAACCAGCACCGCGGTCTGGACCCGGAGACAAAGATGAAGAAGACGGAGAACAAAAACAAGAGGAAGCTGTGTGTGGAGCAGCAGGAGGGCGGGCAGGAGGAGAAGGAGGAGGTGAGTTGAGCCTGTGAGTCCGCGCTCAGGGCAGAAACACACACTGAGTTATCCCGAGTTATCCCGAGTTATTCTGAGTTATCCCGAGTTATCCCGAGTTACTCTGAGTTACTCTGAGTTATCCCGAGTTATTCTGAGTTATCCCGAGTTATTCTGAGTTATCCCGAGTTATTCTGAGTTATCCCGAGTTAACTGAGTTATACTGAGTTATCGCGAGTTATCCTGAGTTATCCCGAGTTATACTGA